CGAAAAAATAGATTTTTCATATGTTTTACTATGTGATCGACAAAAATTACGTAGACTTTTGTCCAGTGAGTGTATGTTGAACATAAGGTATTATAAGAAAACCATCAAAACGTCTACTTCTTCACGCTAGTCCAATCATGCTTTACAATGACACGCTTTGAAGAGTCGATCAATGATTCAGTTGTACGCTTTTTTTTTCACCAATGCTAACCTTCCTGCGTCATGCTCTCATGTACTGTATTTGTACTGTATTTTTGTCAGGACCCATCCAATTATTAAATGACAACACGCTTGCTTTATATTACAAGTACATCTTCGGAAAGTTTCCCGATCCTCATGACGTAATGTCGGTACAAACCGCTTGAGCGCGAGAGAAGCTGTACCTTACCAAAATGCGAAATCAGGTACTGGTGATTATATGTGCGAGATGGAAATTATGTGCTAAACTTCTGATTTTGATGTTCTACTCACTTGGTTTGCCGGTAAGTTAAATTTCAGAAATTGTAGTGCGAATACTTTTGAAGATCTGATTCTGACTCAGGTAACTGAAATAGTAATGAATCATCAGCAGCATGTACGATAGTCGCTAGCCGTACGTACGATATGGCGTTAATGTCAAGTGGAATTGCAAATTGTATTTCGGGATATGGTTGACGAGTCAGAAGGATGCTAATGTGTTGATACATATCGTTTTTTCCCCCCTGACGGCCTTCCTCTTTACACCCCGTATCAGATCACTTGTCGGCAATGAGGTAAACGGAGACATCATCACAGTTCTAGATTTATTTCTCTGTTGGGTGGTTTCTGTTTATTATCCTTGTTCCAAAACACCAGCTTACCTTATCCATTTTCGACCACTTTCCGCACGTTGCATTTTGGCATTTTTGTTTTATAGGGATTGTTCGAATCTCGTCAGCAGACGGATCAGACGACGACGACTCGTTCGAGTCGCTACGCTGCGTTCCATGATAGTATTTGCTGACGATTTCTTTTACACAAAAGACGGATCTCGCATGAATATGGAAGAGGTCGAAACGCAGAAGAAAGGAGTGATGACGGGTTGAGTAAAGCGATGAGGACATGTAATTTTCGTGTGCGGTTAGCATCACATGGCTTGACTAAAACCGAGGAGAGATCCGCAATTGTTAGAATGGTCATTTGAAGTGGGAGGGAGAGAAGAAGGAAATCGGTTGCGATGGGATAAATTAGGGTAAGTGAGCAAGCGAATTTTTTGCTACATATAATATCTCGATTCATTTTACTCTATCAATCCATTATATTTTCGTCGAGTTTCAAGCAAAATTTGTTTTTAATTTATCATTTGTAGATGAGAAGTAGGAGATGAAGTTCTTGAACTTCTATCGGAAGACAAAGCATAACTTGAAGAATAGTCGATCCTCATGATGTAATGTCGGTACAAACCATTCGAGCGCGAGAGAAGCTGTACCTCACCAAATTGAAGCTGGATGTGAATCAAGTATTGATGATTATATGTGCGGGATGGAAATTGACTGCCAAACTTATGGGCTTGACGTTCTACTCACTTGGTTTGCCGGTAGTTAATTTAAGAGTAATTGTAGTGCGAATACTTCTGGAGATCTGTCTTGATCAGGGAACTGAAATAGCAGCATGTACGATAGTCGCTAGCCGTACGTACTTAATGTCAAGTGGAATTGCAAATTGTATTTCGGAGTATAGTTGACCAGGAATGACGGGTCAGAAGGATGCTAATGTGTTCATACCTATCAATCGGGAATATCGGTTTCCCCAGACAGGCCTCCCTCTTTACACTCTGTATCGGATCAGTCGTGGGCAATGAGGTAAACGGAGAGTTCTAGCTTAATTTTCTTTTGGGGGGTTTATCTTCATTATCCTTGTCCCGAAAGATCAGTTTACCTTATTCATTTTCGACCATTTTTTGGCATTTTTGCTTTATAAAGGATTATTCAAATCTCGTCAGCAGACGAATCAGACGACGACGACGACGACGACGACTAGTTCGAGCAGGCCACGCTGCGTTCCAAGATCTTTTACGCAAAAGACGTATCTCGCGTGAATATGGATCTATTTTTGGGCTTTGTTGAGCCATTCAATTACCATCTTCTCTGGCCTATTATTGCTATTGCTGGTATAGAAAACTTTTTCGGCAGACTTTTGGATTATGATTATGGTCAATCCGTTACTTGGCATGGCCCTCTGTTATTACCAATGTGAAAGCATTCCGATTAGTACCGTAATAGGGGACATTGGGAAATTCTCTGGGAAGACTATTTCCATGAAAGTTACTAGGTCTGATGATACTGCTTGGCAGCAATTTTGGGGATGTATTGTGAAAAGTGATTGTTATGATTGACTGGGTAGTGCTTGTCAGAGTCTGTTGGAGGAAACATTGTCGCTTTCGGGAGGTCGAGACGCAGAAGAAAGGACGATGACAGTTGAGTAAAGGATGAAGAACATGTAATTCTCGTGCACGGTTAGCCTATCTTCTATTTAAGGGCTCGACTAAAACCGAGGAGAGATCCACGATTGTTAGAATGTTTCTCCAAAGTCATTTGAAGTGGGAGGGAGAGAAGAGGGAAAGTGGGTTGCGATGGGATAAATTAGGGTAAGTGGGAAAGCGAATTTTTTGCTACATATAATATCTCGATTATTTTACTCAATCAATCCATTATATTCCGTTGAGCTTCAAGCAAGAATTTGTTTTAATTCATCATTTGTAGATTAGAAGCAAGAAATGAAGTTCTGAACTGCTATCGGAAGACAAAGCGCAACTTGAAGAATAGTCGAACCAAATCAAATGCACGCTTTCTTACGAAAATGTTAACCATGGACTTAGCCGATTTATCGAGTATCGCTAGTTTTTGTGATGGACGAGGTGCATCTATGGAACCCGTCGTTTCGTGCGGGGAAGTACGAATGACCGAGACTTTGACTGTCGATTGAATAAATGGATAGAGGAAGACTTTTGAGTCTTGGATCACATTAAAGCGATAATAATAGTAAGATAATATTAAGAGTAGATATTATCCGCGCAGAAGACTCCTGTAACCGAGTTAAGCCATGTAAAAAGATTCTCTCGAGGGAGTTGTATCAAGCTATTAAAGACCTCGCATCTCCAACAGTCCTTTATCACGAAACGTCCTTCCTCCACGTGCCGGTATTGGTTCTAACCTTCTCACGTGGAAGTACATTGATATTCTTGCTTCCTTTGGATAGATCGCAAAGATCGGGATCAGTACTTCTTCAACAGAACCAGCATTTCTTCAATCTTCTTTGAGTGGTTTTGTTTCCGGCTTTGCGCCAAAGACATTCCGTGAACTCTGCAATGCATCAAACCAGCCCATTCCAACGATCCTCATCGGCGGATATAATTCTCTAGGGTGGTGAATATCAGAATAGGATGAATCGCGTACCGAAGAATGTTATTCTACAACGGCCAAACCTTCCCGTTCAAACGGTCTGTCAATATTGGGACAAGAAGCAAAGAATATGCATATGCTACTGCGAGCTTGATTTTGAAATGAATGATTTGTATTTGTATGGGCTGTTATACTAATAGTGATATCGCAAATCCGTCATCCTTTCCATCCCATCGTTCTTCGACTTTCCGTACATACAAACACTAACACCCTTTTCACCACTATATATCCAAAGCCTAGCCCAACTATTGACATTTGCATAATAATTAATACGTCAATATGACAACCGTACTATATGATAGGCATCCTTCTATCAACTTCACTCGCTATCCTAACACGTCAAGTAATCAAACGCATCAACGAATACTGTAATTACAATGGTTACCTACTATGTGAACAAAATTCTCTAGACAAGTCAAACCCACTTCCATCAACGGTATTAGCATACATACAAACCTACTTTATAAATAGATCCTCCCTGCGAAAGATACAAACATCTAACGAAGCATATCCCAAGCATCGCCAGTTTTAATGGAAATTCGAACGTTCAAAGTATTAAGGGATTCAAAAATGTAAGAATTGAAAAGTTGTTTAATTCGGACGCAAAGATCAAAATAAACGTCTTTACTGAAATTCGACGTGACTGAAAACACGATGCTTACCGGAATGCGGTCAATGATTTATCGAGCGCATTAACAATCGTACGCGTTACCAATGTGAACTGTCAACGTCGATTTTTAAAAAAAGCAATATCACTATTAGTTTCAATAGATTCCGCCGACGATAAAAATATTAATGATTATTATTTCTGGTATGTAAAGTTTTATAGTTATTGGATATACGTTCCGCTGAAGAGGTGACTCGAAAGCTTTAAGTAAGATTAATATCGAAACATAATCAATGCACTTGAGAATTATCCCTGCTCATGTGACTGTTTGAAAGAGAGAATGCAAAATTGTAATTGTTATTATAATGATACTCTTGCGCGTGTTATAGTACTAATGTATAATGTTCCGCAGAGTATGGATTATTTACCACTCGTTTTTTCTAGTTTGAATCTGCGCTTTTGTGCCTGAATTGGTTTTTTTTACGATAATTAAGTTTTTATAAGCTTAATAATTGTTGTAACAAAAAAAGCTTATCAGCTTACTATCTGGAACCTTGGATTGTATCCCAAGAGTCTAATAACATGGATTACAACTTATTCACAGATGCTTCAATGTTTTATTATCGTATCGGCAAATTTTGTAAAGTAATTTCCTGTATGCTTGTTTGGGACCCTAACTTAATTACTAAAATAACTTACAGCAGATCTTATGTTAAAGTTGTGTATATTGTTGTAAGTGTAATATATTTATCAATTTTAAACAACAGTTATTATTTAAAAGTATTGGCCATATATAAGAAATTTATATCTGCAAATATATCTAATTACGCGCACTTTATCGATATTAGGTCATTCTACATGCCAAAATATAAATTTTTTAATTATAAAAAGGAATAATCGAGTACGTTACGACTTATTTACATCATAAACAATAAAACATAACAGTCACTTTAATACATTACGATAACAAAAAAGTGTAAGTAGCGTAGACACATTACACATACGTACTGTTTATAAATGATCTTTGCCTTAATTAATGTATACACTTTGAATAATAACAACTATCGCAGACTGTCACTTACATAATACTAATTTATTAACAATAAACCGTTTTCAATAAACTTTTATTCGCTATTTGATCAACGGATATTGTACAGCCGTTAATATATTGATCGACAGATAAAAAATCAATGTTAACGATGAAAGTAAGAAATACGTCAATTTGAAGGGTTCGTTTTATTTAATATACAGTTCGTGGGTAGAGAACTTTATCCAAATCATTATTCAATGGTCAGTAAACATGTCTTAAATTGATGTCTCGGAACATGGAAAATGCTATTTTAATTATGGCGCAGTGGAAGAATTTGTTCTTTGTACTAATTCATCAAATCGGGCTTCGTTGTAACAATTTTTACAGATTTTGTGAAACTTAAGCTACAATTTCTGCTATTACTATCATTGCTACACCGAATTTGGTATAAGGTTCCCACTCAATAGTTTCTTTTAGTAGTCAGCACGATTGACTTTAAAACATTCATTAGTCTGAAGTCAAACGTATCAAGATTTATGTACGATTCTTAAAAACCCAAGCTAAAAAATTTATATTGCTGTTACATTAAATTTGCGTAAAAAATCTTTTTCCCCAGAAAATGCATGTCGAGTCTTAGTTCCACATTCGAAATTATGCATACCAATATTTAAATGAAAAGTTCCTCGCTTATGTAGATGGAGAATGACCAACCAGATAGGACAAGTATAACGTATATCCAATTTGAATGCTTACAATAAAAAGCTTTTATTTGTACCAGAATTTTAATCATATTAACTAGTTATTTAATTGAGCGTATTCTACACAGAAAGGATAATAATAACAATAATGCATATACCATATCATATGACGAAAAAAAAAAATCTGTATTACATATTGCGCCAAGTTGAGTAACGTTACAACAATACTATGGAAATGGCAAGTCGTGTTCTCTCAAAATGGTAGAGATTGTCGAAATGTTAAAAATTCTAATATCACATACAAACTTCAGTAAAATTGATACAAGTTACTATCGGAATAATGATCCGTATTCGAACTCGAGCCATTTTTAAACTCTTCTTCGAATAAGTCTAATTGATTATTCAGTTCTTCACGCACGTATAATAAAGTAACGTTCTCCGTATCCATATCGTCGTCGTTGTCGTCATCAACATGCTCAACGGTTGGCTGCTGTTCTGGCGGAGTAATATATTCCAAAAATTCGTCCGATAATGCATATTCCGGCGTCGGAGGAGATACCAACACGAATGATTGCATACATTGAGCGATAATATTAGTTGGTACAGGTTCTGGCCTTGTTTCGGGAGATTGTAAAGGGAAACAATTGTTGAAATGAGAAATAGTATCGTCCGAAAAGAATATTTCTGGTGATTTGGTAGCCAAATCGTCTGGCTTTGGGTCGACTTCGTTGTCTCTGATATTAGCGTAGTTGTTTTTTGCGTTCGCGTTATTGCATTTGTTGCTTCCGTTATTTGCGCTGCGACCATCCCTTACACGTTTTCTTTTACCGTTCGTTCTATATGGCGTGTACCTGTAGCCCGGGTACATTTCTTTGAATCGCCTTTCGACTATATCGGCCGCGAGTTCGTATAGACGTTGTTTGGAGGGGGGGAGGCGATTCCATTCCTCCATTGCTATTTTGACAAGCGTTTTCGCGCCTCCTTCGAAAGGGACTTGGCCTTTCAACCTCTTACTGCACTCTCGTAAATAAATTATGGAGGCGTTACTGGTTCTTTTTGGATCGCCGTTTTTGTTTGGCTTAGTATCATATAGTAGTAATTCGTCCATAGTGCAAATGGGTCTGGTCTTATTATACTCTTCTTCAAATTGTTTCATTAAGTCATCGGTATCGAATATTAACAACATGTTGACGAATTATGAGAGTGTTTAAGTGTGTTATAGTGTATGATAAGTGTATGATGATGAATATTATACGCAACGGAAGACGTATGCGAGGAGGTTCTCGGATAAACTAAGGACATTTTTATAGAGAATTTCAATCTATGTTTCACATTCTTACTTTGGAAGAAAATGGGTAGCATCCAAATTTGTTATCCAGTGTCGTTTATTTTTGGCCTAACTTTGTGACATCAGCATGACCTGTACACATCTCTTCCCCTATAGAATTGTGAATTTGTCTGCGCATTTCATTCAATCAATACGTTGGCTAAAAAGATTGGTTTGTTGTTGATGCATAAGGTACACGGTAATAACTCGTGACAGTCATATTTAGCTACTTCTATAAAGCAAAATAATCTATTGTATTGCTCGAAGTTTTGACTTGCATACACGCATATCACTGCAACGAAATCTTTAATCGATATGTATTGAATATCCAGAAATTCGTTAAACTACGCTCACCGTAACTAATGATAATCAGATAATCCGAGCCGAATCATATGGTAAATCTTCCACGTTAAAAAAACTAATCATAAAGTACACTGCATAATATTCGTATTTTTCCTAAATAAATTGTCTGACTAGGCGCAGCAAAACACACTCTGCCACATAATTCTACACTGCACATATCAGCATTAAGTAACCGCTGCAAGTTTACTAATAAAAAATAAATCACTTTTTTTTGAAACCCCAAGAGGTTTATCGAGTAAAGCGGAAACGTCAAATTTACACTTAATATGCGTAAGATAATGAGAGGCCAAAATATCAAAGCAAAGTACAAAACTTTGCTTTTTTGTCGGCCTTCATTACAGTAGGATGCAAAACTATCCCACTACCTCTAATTCAAGATAGGGATAATCAAACAGTTTGCAAATTTCCCTGCATATAGTGTATAACAAATCCTGATAATGCATAAAATTTCAGATCGATTGGATGACTATGTGATGACGCAATGACGTATTCCTTCCTAAATTTCTGTAAAACCCGCTGGTGCCACCAGAACCTCATACCAGAAGCGGTTGTACCAGAAGCGGTCGTACTAATTTCAAGTGATGTTGCACCGGAAGCGTTAGACGGAAGCGCCGGACGAAAGCGCCGAACGGAAGCGTCAGATGGAAGCGCTAGACAGAAGCGCTGGATAGCAGCACAGTACGGCAGCAAGGAGAGATAGTAGTGATAATTTAGAGAGTAATTATATTAATTAGCTAATAGATTAAATCCAATGCTAAAAATAGATTAATTAGTCGGTCCGAAAGATATCAAAGCAGCGTAGGATAGACATAGCATCGGTGTGTTCTGTTCCGTTTTTAAGCGTGTTCAAAAGATAGTGTTCGTTACAATATTTTCCTATCGAAGACGTTCGATACCCTTTTATTTTATTCCGTATCTTACCAATAAACGAGTAACCATTTATAATTCTTTTCTTGAATATCCGTTATATCCTAAAACAGCTAAACTGTATAGCGCAAAGGTCGATCGTAATACTTGTCCCGCGATTGACTGAGTGGCAAATATGATATTTAATTATTTCATTTATAACGCGCGTTACATTCTTATTCATACCCCAAACTATAGACTACCGTCTTAATCCAGCGGTAGAGAATAGTATAAATTTTCTCGAGAATGATTATTTATTTAGGTTTAGTGTCTACTGACTAGCACCGCTGGTAGTACGGAAAAGCCTACATTGATAGGTCACTAACTGTTTGTAGTATTTTTAGTTATAGCCGAGGTGAGCCACGCACCTTCGAGGGCCTAGCTAAATCTCAAACCGTGTTGATAGTCATACGCTCTCCCGTGACCGTTGACACGACAACTACAGCAAATCTTACAAACATTTATTTGAACCCGTTAGGAGAACGTATGAAAACATATAAATCGTATGCCGCTTATTAGAGACATAAACATTAAAATCCATATTTCCGCGTGTTTCTAATCAACTTGTATAATTTTTTTGTGTGTTTGCTAGCTTTTATCTTTTGAGGAAACTGTTACGATATTTGGCAATAAACGTGTATTTGTATCATCAATTACCATCATGTCACATGCAATTTTTAGTCGCAGTAATTCGGTTAACAATCATTTAAATGCATGCTGACGGTATAGGAAGACAAATAAAAAAAAAGACTATAGAATTTGGTTGGAAAGGAATCGAGATATAATTTTTTGAATTTTCAAGGCCAGAGTTGAGTGTATATATATATGTATAATATGTTAATATTAGTATCTCGTGTGATGTTTGAAACTTGTTATACACATATACAGGAAAGTTTTCAAACCATTTGATTATTCCTGCCCTGAATTAGAAGTGGTGGGATACTTTTGCATCCTACTCACTGTAAGTATTGCGGTAAGTATACCAAGAAGAGCATCTTTTTGTTTTCAGTAATACACTTCTGTCATTTGTACGCCAGCAATTGTTTACCGAACTCATCAGAAGTGCCTGATAAGCTGTATAAATGGTGATGAGACGATATTTTAGTTTAATTTGCAAACCTTTTCTCTGCCATTATTACCAAGTTTTACAAACTGCTTTGTTGACTTGTTGTAGAATAACTTTCACTTTCTCATGTAAATAAGTCAATGCAAACAAGTACATCAACAGAGTGAATAGCTGTATAAAATTTATTTTTAAAGGAAAATTTCTAGTGTGTGAGACTGATGAATTCAGTGTTTGTCAATTATCATGGGGACAGAATCCATATTAATCCAAGCAATCAAAGGAATTTTATCTCTATTATCAGGTATATGCAGTTTGTATTTACTCAGAATACAGCATAATATTATCTGTAGATATGGATGGTTCTGAAGACGGACGGGTATTTGATTACGCTAGTGTAGAAGACGAGTTAACAACAGAATTGAAGAAGAAAATGGAAATAATGTGCTTCATAATAATAATATTGGAGACGTTTATGCGGATGATATATTATACGAGAATATATGGTAGATGACTATTAATATTGACAAATAAAATTAGGGTGTACTTTGTATGAAAGTATTTGTTTATAATACCCGGATATTTTACTTGATATTTATTTCTTCGAGAATAATACCCAGGTCTTTTACAAAATTAAATCTCAAAACTGCTGAGGGGTATTTTGCTCTGGGGGTGCTTTAGTCAGAGAATATGGTAAATTTGAATAACTTTCCTCAGGTCTAAGTGGCCTGGACATTCATCTTTTACAAAACATTTAGCAATTTTAATACATCCACAATTTCATCAAAAACCTTCTTGGCATCCAAATAACTTTCCATTCTTCCATAATTTATGTATAGTTAGAAACACTTATGCTCTGTAAATGGATTATTACGTTTGACTGTTAGTGAAATTTGTTATTAGAAAAAGCTTTCTTCGGGAGAGAAGGCAGACTTTTGAGATTCCGTAAAAAGTCGGTAAACTAGATCGCCTCTCCAATTACCAACATGATACGATCCATCATTGGAAAGCAACAGTATTAAATAAAATTCACAAGAGGCATTCGTCAGGTGTATATAAAAGGACTCATAGGTTCACAGTGACGCGTGGGCATATTTTTATGATGAATTTGTAAGATCTGACATTTCTTGGATAATAATCGATTTTTCTCGGTTTTTAATACAACGCAGATATCTGTAACAGTCTGACTCCTTGGGGAAGTTTTTATTTCTCTCCCCAAATTTCTCTTCCTCAGCGCAACTATCATGAATTTATTGTCCCAACCTCTTCACCCTGACTCTCTATTTCGAGAAGTTTTTAAATTTGGACTGAGATTATTGTTATCTCCCCTGCGGCTACCAGTGACACGTAAAAAGGCGTGGATTCAATGCTTTCAAGATTTGAACGTGATGATTAGAATGAGACGATACTGTAAACTCATCGTATACCAACAGCTTTGCATATTGACATATTGTAATTGATAAAGGTACTTTATTTCTTAATTTGGGCCAGATAGTGCATTGAACGGAAAAGACGTACTATCATCATACGCTCCTAGGTATAATAAATTGTACGAATATTTCATACCCGTTATGTATATTTTGTTTCGCTTCGCATGCTGATCATACTGCCATTTTCAGGATTCTCACCTTAATTGTTACGGTCGTCTATGCATGTTCGCTGTCTCAGCCAGTTATATCTACAGTTTTTTGCGGCAACAGCGAAGTGTTGACAATGATAATATATTAGACCCTCATTTTCCCCTGTGCCTTATTGAAGGACCCGTCATATGATATTTGGTGAGGATGTTCTACAGTTCTCATCGCTCAGATGAGTAAACATTTGAAGTGAAATGGAAATGGCACACTTTGCTGAGTGTTAATAATTTTATATAATAAGTCCAAACAATACCGGACAACAGGCAATGGTATTAGTATGTGAAAGTCAAAAGCTGCTCACATCTTAGCATTTTAATTTTGACTCCAGCGTGTTTGTAATTTAGCTTTATACAATTCGCGTTTTGTACCATTTATCGTGCTTTAATTAATCATCAGCTATTACGAAAACTGTATAGACATGTAATCACTGGATAAACACGCTGTTTGCAATTGCAACGTTTTAATTAAGCGCATATTTGGTCCATTTACTCAACTCTTTATTTGAAGACGTATGTTAAAACATTATCTAACGTTCACAGTATAAGTAATGCCGAACAACGTAGGACAATTATCTACACTTATAATTGCTTATCAAAAGATACTTCGCCCCTTGTGATTATACGCTGGTTAAACGACGTACAGTATATACTGAATTGAGATTGATGCACAGTAAACATACATTTAGCAACCATGCGTCCGATTACATTTGCAAAAGTGTAGAAAATTTGCTAAGTAAACGCTCAATTGGGTTATGCATATTAACTGGATTAAAAGGTGAAATTTTTGTGCTCTTTCTCTTAGGGTCTATGGCATCTTCCTACATGTACATACACTCAATATGTGCAAATACTGCATTGGTAGGCTTGAGCAGAAGGAGAGGTGTTCAGTTA